GGAAGGGAGCGGGGGGGGGGGGGGGGAGGGGGGGTCGCACCCCTGGAAACTGAAAACTCCTAGAACATTGGCATGTACGCCCAAGCTGACCCCGCCCACGTTCACCACACACGACCGTCAACCGTCACCCGGACATGAACCGACCTCGACGGTGTCATTGTTACTGTGGATCGACGTCGTTGGGGGTTAGACTCAAGGAAACCTGCTGACCTCTGCTACGTAGTTCGCCCTAAGACGGCACTTTTTGGCACGAGCCCTTGACACCAGAACGCAACCAGCATATTTTGAGAACGAAGATGCTCGAACCAGGTAGAAAAAGGGCCCTCAAACAAAGCCTTTGGTTCTTGCGCTGAGCAGTTCTTCATAAACATGGCAACTATTTGAAGTGTTCCACGTGGATCAACTTATCAATAGAATCCATTGTCTTGGGGTGGGGAGACTTCGGTACATTAACTCTCCGTCTCTCTGGGCTTGATAGGCTAATCTGGGAAGAATCTTCTGTGTTCGGGCAAGGGGGCCTACGCTGAGCCACACCGCTTCAATTTCCACGTGTGTTTTGTTTTGGGGCGAGCTCACTACCCTGAAAATCGGAGGGATGCATCACGCAGGTTAAGAACGGCATTTGATGTAAATGCAATGGGGCTGCTGTACATGCATCACACAGGTTTTCAATGCGATGGAAAGTGGATGTAGCCTTTGAGGAGAGCAAGGAGACAAATGCATGCAAAAAGGAAGTACTTGCGATTGTTTGTGCGGGGTTTCAAGAAGAAAAACAAGCCGACAAGATGAAGCGAAACAACCGCACCTCGACGGGCTTGTACACCTCTCCCGGAGCAGCAGCACCAGCGACCACCTGAATCGACGAAAAACATCGACATCAACATGAACGCCACCGATCAAACGGAGCAGAAGAGATAGACGAACGGCAAAGAGAGGGAACGTCAGCACCAAAATCACGTGTTTGCGCGCCTTTGTGGTTGACGTGTTCGGCTACGTGAAGGACATCGACAGAACGTTTGCACCCTTGTCAACATCGCCGTCTGTCTCAAAAAGCAATCCTTGTTTATCGCTTTCGCGACAAGCCCTCAACACTGGCCGTCACGCAGCATCCTGCATCAGGACAGCGGCGACGACACCGCCTCAAAAAAAAAAAAAAAACGCTTGGTTGGTGTTGAAGGCGAAGTGCGTCGCCGAAAAAAAAAAAGCCGGGACTCATCGGCAGCAACCAACAGAAAATTGAAAGGACGACCAGCTGAGCAGCAGGAAAAAGCACAGCATCGCCGGTGCTCGAGCGCTGTCACCCTGCGCGGTAAACTGCAGTCGTGAAAATACACAAACACATTGCATCCTGCGCAAAAACATTGCATTGCATCACCCCCCCCCCCAATTGCGTAACCGTTAAGGCATGCAAAACACAAGAGTACGCCCCCCCGCCACAGCAGTAGTTGCTGGCCTACCTGCCCATTGTATCTGACGTTTGGACCGTGAGGTTCTAGCCCCGCTAGCCTTCCCGCGGGCCAATTCGCTATTGTGAATGCTGAACCAAGGTCTACGATGGCCGGGATCCCGGAAGGACTATCGCACAAGTCGAGGGACGAGGAGGGCAGGGGGGGACGCAAGAGAGGGGGGGGGGGGTATACCGAGGCGCGCGCGGGCGCACGTGAATCATGCATTCTGTATGTTGGAAATCAATTCGGACAGCATTGCCTGGCGACCATCGAGAGACTGCCAAACCAACAGCAGCGAGCGTGATCAGCTACTGGAACCCCTGCTAAACGCGTCATTAACACCACCCCAAGAAAACTTGACGCGAGGCTCGTGACTGCTCATGTAGGGTGGACCCCAACTTCGAGACTTAAGGCCGTCGTGGAGGATTCTTCCCAACAACCCTGTGCAACGGTCAACTTGTTCTTAAATCTCCCTCTTTTGGAGCCTGAAGAAAAACCCCAACTCCCCGGTTCTTAGTTCGTGAGGGGTGGTGTGGTCTGTAATCAAACATCCAACGCCTTGCAGTGTACCTCATCAGAACAGGCCGCTACATAACCAACGGTTTTTTAATCCACGGAACATGCGAACGCAGACGACACGGTGCAAGCGCTGGGAGGTGCTCCGATTCATCGCATATACATCACTCGCGAGAGCAGTTCCGGTCTGCCTCGCTGCGTCGTGCACACAGAACCAAAAACATGCTGTGCTTTTGGTACGACCGTTCATTGTACGTGACGTGATTTCATACGCGACGCCATACGGCGCCACTAAAGTGCTTTTGTACTCATTCATTGATTCATTGCGTGATGTCATACATGACGTCATGCACTCTCTTGTTGTTGTTGTCGCCAGACCGCACGCGCGTCCACGGCCCACACTCCATCCTTTCTGCACAGCACGGGACGCCAATTCTGCAACACCACACGCTACCGCCCCAATTCTCTCTCTCTCTCTCTCTCTCTCTCTCTCTCTCTCTCTCTCTCTCTCTCTCTCTCTGCTGCTGCTGGTGCAACTTTGCCAGCGCGCGAATAAGAGAGAAAGGAGAACACCGAACACCCACCTCCCCTTCCCAGCCTCCGTCGGCTTCATCTTAACGTCTATCACCATGAACCCGGTCGGCAAGATCCTCCCCGGTATCCCCGTCATGTCCCGCGACCCCAGGCCCCCCGACACCGCGCTCCCGGGTCTCGCAAAGGTGGCGTCGCCTGCAGTGGTTGGTGACAGGGAGAAATAATAACACAGCCGGGACGAGAGAGTCCAGCGCGTAAAAACAGTCCGTGGGAAAAGAAAATGAACTCGAACGGCTGAGCGAGGCAGAGTTCGGGCCCGTCGTTTGTCGGTGTAGCGTAGCCAGACACGCACAGAAGAACGTAAGAACGTGATACCAAAACGACCCAAGATGTGCAGAAATAATAAATGGCAGCGACGAGCGTGTAGGGCAACACGGGCGTGCAAGGGCACCTGTACCGAGATCGTATGTTCCTTGAAGCGGAGCGTTTGAGGCGGCATTCGTGCGCCATAACGGAAGCGGGGATGCAAGGGTACATTTCGAAGAACGGGACGGGATAAGCAAAACGTCGTGGTCGAACCTAGGATGGCACGCTGCATCCAGCCGGTCCTCAACCGATAAGGAGAAACCATGTAGTCAAGTCGTAGAACAACTCCTCACAGCCATATTCAACACTCAATTACGCCGCAAGCAACTACATGGTGCAAAAACCGCCCGATACGTGTAAGGAAAGCAAGCCTCTCGACGGAGACATGCTTCCAAAATCGCCCTTGGCGGAAATTGAGAACCTCTTGGTTACGGGGTCAATCAAGATAAGACAAGATAAGATAATATATGAAAGTCGGTCCAAGAGTTGTGAGATAGATCACTCGGCCTATCACGGTGCTGCTGTAGCCAAGCAGCAAGAGAGCCATCACGGACGAGGCAGGAACACATCCTCCCAACGTTAACCCTAACCTTGACCCTAAGCCAGCAACGATGAGGTAGGTATACATCACACATGACGGATACGAAAAACGCATGAGACTCTCCTCCATCCACCTCCAACCTCCTCACCAGACTGAAAGTCAAGCTTGACGTCGAATCGCGCCAAAAAGTCCATCCCCAGGATGCCCGAAACACCCTTCTCCATCCCTTCGCTCCCCTTCCCCGTAATGTCGGTGATCGGAAGCTCCATCACCACCGGCTTTAGCTGTCCGAACGACTGGCCTGGAGGGGGGGGGTATCGAGAGCAGAGAGACATGCTTTTAGTTTGCCGGGAGTGTAACAACGTGGCGACGGCCTGCCTGGAGCTTGAAACCGATGGATGTATACGCAACAGAAGGCACCAGTAGGAGAAGGATAGTCCAATATCCCGCCGACACATGGACGACCTACGGTGCTCGCGACAGCAGCTGAACAATCAGCCAAGCACACTTGATGTGCGCCATGGAGCAATTCATTCATTGATCCATTTACACAATCCCTTCTCGTTCCATCACCGAACCACGCTTATCGATATAAAAGTAGTCCTCAACTCCGACGGTATGCACCGATGGACGAAAGACTTCGGTCTTGAAATAAACGCTTAAACTACAGCAATACATCGTCTCATGCATTTCAAGGCAGTGGGTACGGACATGTATCCTCCGGAAAAGCAGCCATTGACAAAGTGGCCCTTAACAACGACAACAACAACAACAGAGCAGCAGGCGGAGAGAGCCTTCCCAACCATTCCGCCTGTCCTCACTCACCCGCGACCTTGACTTCCCCAAGAGAAACCTGATACAGCCCGGACATGCCGTCCGTCCCCGCCGACCCCATGGCAGAAACGCCGGTTCTTATCGCACCTTTCGGTGATCGACATGTTCGTATCGCGCGAAATCCGGCAGGGGGTTAGGAAGAGATTAATTGAGTAAAAGCCGTGAGGTGTTTAGTTGCCCAGTGAGTCACTCGAATCAAGGGCGTGAGGAAGTAGATATAACACGGCTACCACGTACGCCGAGCGCTGGTTGACGGATGTTCGTGAAGAGCAGCGAACGAAAAGAAGAGGGATTCGGGGGGGGGGGGGGCAGGGACCCGATTTAAAAAAAACCAAAACCTGGGGCAGCCGCGACTACCTGAACAAAAAAAGGGTAAAAGGGGGAAACGGATAGTAACAGGATCCTCCCCGACAAAAACTGCACAAGCAGCACGTGTCACACACGAGCTGCTCCTGCTTCTACATGCCGAGGGCAGACCCACCCCAATCGCTGGCTAGCCTTGGGCGTGAGCAAAGAGCTAGTGGCCGCCGTGTCCAGCATGAACAGCTCGGTCGTCGGTCCCTTGGGAGCACCAGGCAGGCCGATCTCAATGCAGTAGTAGTCCTTCTGATCGACGGAGATTGCTTCCCCTAGCGCAGAATGGCTGCGAAGGGGTGTCGTGTGTTGTCCGCATGCCATCGACGAGTTTTCGGGGAAGTTCAGCCGACAACGAAGTGAGCAGCGGGGGGGTGGGGATGAGACTGAACCTTTAGCCTTCGCACATTGGGGAAGCAGTGCCAGCTTTGGCCATATTCTTCGTCACGAGAGGTGCAGGTGCGATTGCCAGATGCAGACGCAGTCAGACTTGACGATGCCATATTTCGGACGGTCACAACAGTAGTAGGCTACCGCAACAAACGATGATTAGGTGCTGACATGTTGGGTGTGCGAAAAACAAACGTTGGTCATACAATAGCAACAACAATTCGCACAACAAGAACTACAACGTAAATCGCCTGCATCTGGAACGATGCGGCTGAAAGATGCGTTCTCGTCTGTGCCTCTGGAATGGGAGTACAACGAAGCTTCGTAAGAGCCATTGGGCCTTCGTACTGTTGCCTGGCAGCGTTGGGAGAACACCTTTCTTGTATGCTGGACGGGGCCTAGCATCTCAAAGAGTACTGTGCCCGTCTGTTGCCGCAGGCGTCCGCCTAGAGAGTGGGTACATTTACTTCGCCTCTGTCTCCCCCCGACGACGAGAACCAAAAACGGGTGTTCGGCACAACCTGGAGACCTTTGACAAGATGCTGTACTGTACAAGCAACCATCACAGCGACCCTCGTGCCAAGATATAAACGTTGCAAAGAGCGGCCAACTCTCACCTCGGGCGTATCCTAATCATGGGCACCACGGTCCCGTCCGCGGTGACCCTCGCCACCCGGCTCTCGAGCCCCCCCCCCCCCCCCAAATTGGCCTCCCTCCACCAATCTTGGGGGGGGGTCCCCTCCGGGCCCCCCCCCCCCTAACAAGCTCGCTTTTTTTGGGAACAAGGCGAAGGTGTTTGTGCTCCTGGGGGCGGCTGTTTTGTGTCCCCCAAAACGGGGAATTTTTCCCCTACCAAGAACTGCCCCCAACCCTTTTTTTTGAGCGGTGTTTGGAAGCCCTTTTTTTCCTCCGTTTTTCTTCCTGGGGGGTTACCGTTAGGGTTATGGTTAGGGTTAATTTTTTGTGGTTTTTTGAACGGATTGAAGTGTAAGTTAGGCGGTGGCGGGGTGGATGAGACTTTCGAGAGCGATAG